TCTGTGTCTCTTTGTTTTACTTCTTTGTCTTGACTGTGGTTCATATCTCCTAATTTCAACTGTATCAACTGTAAATTTAATTAACATGCTTTTTGCTCCCTCTTCCAGATCAAAAATTATGTTTAATAAGGCCAGACATAACACAGATCGCTATGGAAGACAATAGACACTTCCTGTAGTTCAATATGTTGCCATTTATCAACACCTTTTGTTGATGGTCTTTCAGATAACTTTCAATCCACATGACACTGCTTCTATCCAAGCCAATTTGCATTAATTTTTCAACTAAGATTGCAAAATACAGTATCAAATACTTTACTGAAGTCCAAATATATTACATCCACTGTGTTCCTTTCATCCACTAATTTTGTATTTCTATCAAAAAAGCAATCAAGCTCGTCTGGCAAGATTTATGATTTATGCTGCTTATTGTTCTTATACTCCACTGGTCCTCAGTGTCTGTACCAGATGCTTGCTATAGCTCCTTGATTTTTATTTCCTGTATCCACACCCTAGTATTTCACTGTTCTTCATTATTAAATTGCATCACACTGGTTTTGTGGATGCTTCTGAAACATATTATAGGGCCTGATCATCCTCAACTCCCTCATATCAATCAAAGCTGAGAGTGCTCAGCACCTCTCAGGATCAGGCCCACAGTGCTACTTCACCTCTTCCTCAAGGTACCCATCAATAATAATACCCAGTTTTGATAACTGTATCACTTCCAGTTTGTATTTATTTCCCATATTCCTTGTATAGTACATAAATCCTTATGTTTGTTGTTATATATGTGTCTGTAGATCATTTTCATCCTTCCTCATTTTCAAATCGGAATCATATACCCACCAACCTAGCTTAAAATCTACCTACCAAGCTCAGTTTTAAATCCATATGTTTGTTAATTCTTCTGATGAAATGGAGATCTATTGCACACACTCCCCTCTCATCAAAGAAAGCCTTGTAATGCTCCATAAAAACAAGCTCCTTCTCTGTTCCATTAGCTAGTACTGATTGGCTAGTCTCCAGAATCAGTTTTCTCCCTTCTTCACACTCACATGTGGCACTGGAAGATCTCTGAGATGCTCAGCTGCGTTGCTGCCATTATCAGTTCTATTTCCATGCCTCTAAAGTCATCCTTGATTCTATAGAACTATTAGCCCCACTTTTCTCATTTTCTCCCAATAAGTGGATATTCATTTCCATTATTTAGGTTCTCTTGCCCTTCTTGTCATATTCCTTTCTCTGACTCTAAGGATCCAGCATATTAAAAAATGACTCTATTTGAGTTGTACATGGCTTGGACCATATTTTCAGAACAACCATTTGCCAGGTTGACTCTTGACTCTTGTTTCTGGTGGCTCCCTTTCAATCATTACTCAGGAGACTGACTGTCCTCAGTCTCCTCTTAGTCTATTTATTCCCTAACTCATGAAGGCCAGAGTGTGTGTCGCTGGTGATTACGTTGAACAGCTCTATTTTGTTTCCCTTCTCTTCTTCCTTGTTGTCTGTCTACCTTCATACTTCACCATATCCATCCCATCCTTGGTCTCAAGTGGCTGGGTCTCTCATAACAGTTCCTTCCTTTGTGAACTGATTCAGTTTCTCCTGCTGCTTCAGACCCTTCACTTTTTCTTCCAGAATGCAAGTCAGCTTGCACTTCAAACATATGTATCCCACCTGGCATTCATACAGAAAACATAACATTTTCTGCAATTGACTGTCTCTGTTTCTTTGGTGGTCATATCTCAGTTACTGCTAATACAACTTGCTCTCTGGCTGAATCAAGACGATTCCCTACTATAAATCTTCATTCTTAAACACTCTTAAGGAATAACCAGTTTGAGGCCCTGTGGCTGTACCTTTGCCACTAGGATAATATAAAGCCTCTAGTAGTGGATTTGGGATAGGATTAATATAACAATGAATATTATTTACATTAAACTCCTTTATTCAGTTATACATAAAGCTTTATGGAAAAAGGAAATGAGAATCTTATGGCATATTGCAAAATTGACTTCTTCTACTCTGTATAGTAGAAGTAAGAGTTGGCATTCTTACCTTGGGGCAGTATTTGGCAACGCTTTCTCTGGAGCTAAGGGAAGCCACAGTGTTTACTGCAGACCTCTGGACTCTACCTTGGGTCGTATGAGGGTCTTGTAAATGCAATTTATAACTTTATATTGCACCACCTGCTGTTAAGAATTTAGTACTGCAAGGACAGCAGCTCCCTATTGAAGAGTGAAAAACTACTCAGTATTGGTTTGTTTTTATTCTGTTTTGTTTTATTTTAGGCGGTTTGTTGCTGTTGGCCCCTTACATCTTCCTGATTGGAAGTTGTAAGGTGGAAAAGTGGTTTAATGAGAAAGGAAATATGTACATACAGATACATATATAAAGAAAAAAAAGTGAGGGAGATTGAGTGGAGACCACTGATTAACTAAAACCAGTAAAAGGTGGCCAAGGTACTATAAAACTGGTCTATAGCCTCCTGAGCTCATTCCAGCCTGGAAGCATTCCAGTTTAAGAGCCCAGTTGGACTAAAACCTTTAATCCAAGCTATACACTCAGCCTAGGTGAGGATTTTGTGATGGTTATATCTCTGAGTAAGAGTTTTTGCCAGATGCCTTCTTGCCCTTGAAGGTGGATTTCAGAAGGGGGTGATTGTTTCATATGATTGTTGCTATTAGAGTTCTGAAAGGTAAAATTAAAAGTTCCATTTTGATACTTGATGGACTCCTGATTTACAATCTGCTTTAATTTTTTATGCTGTATTTACTGAATCTATGATCCATGCTATAGTTGTATTATGACAACCTGCTCCCTTCATCTGCAATCACTTTCAGATCTCAGAGCAACGTTTTCAAGTGTGTTTTCCTATAACTAGGCACCTATATTCCATAAGGTGTAGGCACTTAAATGAGAGGCCTGATTTTCAGAGCTGGTGAGTACTCATCTCGACATCCCCTCTTCTGGTTCTCTTCTCTGCGCCACACATTTTCCAAGACAGTCTTCATCTTTCAATCAGACTCAATCCCAAGTCCCCACAGCTCCCAAAATTTGGCCCATAATGGACTAAAGAATTATAGAATTCCTCGCAGCAGACCCCAGATTTATTCCACTATATATTCCTGTACTGTATTCAGAGCGAGCATCCGTGATGCCTCTCTTAGCTAGAGGCCGGGTTAACCTCTTCCTTGTTAACCTCTGCATAGGTTACATTGGACACGGATTGGGAGAGAAATCAGGCCAAAATTTCAGACATGGGTGCCTATCATTAGGTACTATATATCCACAGCTATCTGAAGAAAGCTGAAGCTGAAAGGAGAAATGAGGTTTTGCATGTTTCTCTTCCTCTCTGTAATGTAGCTGAATTAAGCCACACTTTATAACCCTCTTTTGGACTCAGTTGAAGAAGGTCATGCATTATGGAATAGATTTTCAATGGAGCTCATCCTCCAGCAGCTCCCACTGAACCACCTAAATATGTGGCCAGATTTTCAAAATTGTTCAGCACCCAGAAACTCCTTCAAGAACAATGACCTGTCCAGTGCTCTGGACACTTCTGAAAACTGGCCATTTCATTTCGGTGCCTAAAGGGAAGCTGAGCAACTGTTTTGAAAATCTGTGCTGCAACTCCGGCACTATTAAAATCAATGGAAATGCAACCATTGACTTCCGGGGAGTAGAATTTCAAGCCTGGTCCAAATTATGGGTGTGCTGCACTTTTTTCAATGTATTGCTATCAACCTTAATTTTGGGCTGGGGTTGAGCAAATCCCTGTTGACTGTATGTTTAGTGCTTATGGAGCAGGACAGATACTTTCCATTTGCTTTCTTGTTTTATAACACAAAGCTGTTTAAATTTCACCTAGACATTCAGATTCCTCCCCACATCACTACCCCATCTCCCCAGACTTTCCTAAAAAAACCCATTAAAAAGATAACAAACCATCTCTAGAAACCCCCAGCCCTACTTCTAGAAACACTCAGCTAGTATCCAGCCCTCTGTTTCCATCATAATCTTTTGCAAAATATATGCTTGTTATTTACTTTCTCTATAGCACCTTACTAATTTGTGTTAGGGTACGTCTATACCCAGCCGCTAGTTCGGCGGCTGGCAATCGAACCTCTGGGGTCGGCTTCTTGCGGCCTGTCT